AACTTGGTTCCTTTTGCAGAAATTCATGGCGTTTCAAGATCTTTGAACATCCCGTAAGTAGAGGTGGAAAACTATTCATTAAGTGCCTGAGCTGCTTTTCTGACTACAAAGTGTAGGTCAGCAGAATAAAAGATGGGAGAAGGGCAAGAAGTTGTTCCTGGACACAGACCAGTTCTTGCTGGTACAGACACCATTTCCAACAATCACAATTAGAAGACTGCACTCCATCTTGCTCAAAATCTGAGTAAATTAATTTTTCTTGTCTTGGCAACACTCAGCCTCATGCAAATGAGTTAGAACTGTTTTCTGCAAGCATAAAGAGTATACGGCCAACTGCAGATAGCTGCTGCCACAAAGACCCTATGTGACATTATTTGAATGGAAGAAGATACAAAGCAAGTGTGTTTGGAAGGGGAAGGTAATTTCCATTGAGGAGGCCATTGCCTCCTCACCATGTCCTTGGCTGCACTGAACTGGTGATGACAAACTGGATTTGGGAGCTGGCCATGATTGCAGCCTGACCTTTTGCCTCAGCATCTTTCTCAATTTGCCCTCTGCACATTTTCCACCAGTGAGTTTTTCTTCTTCTTTTTGGATGTCCTGGGCCTGCCGGAATAACACGGTGAGAAATGGCACGTGTGCAATGCCAGCACTTGTTTGATGTCTCCCCGCTTTGAGCACAGGCTTTCTGCAGCAGAGCCATCTGCTTAGCAGCTCTCTGAAAACATCCTTTTGGGCATCAGTTTTTAAGCCTCCTACAGCACTTGCCATTCTCATCTCCATACTGATCACTGAACAAGTATGAGCAAATGAACAAGCCTTTGGCTCTTGAGAGTGGTGCCAGGGGATGATGATGTCTTTGTCCCTCATCTACTTGTTAGAGCTACTGGTAATTTGAGGCTTGTCAGTCCAGGAAAAATTCTGAAAGTTACATTTTAGCCAATGAGTTCTTGCTTAGTGAGATGTGCAAGGAGCTTTGCTCCCCATTGTTTGGTAATCATGGCATTTTATAAGCAAATGTGACTCGAGCAGAAAAGGTGCTCTTGTACCCTGTGAAACTGCAAGTTGTGTGGAAAACAGGTACAGGCTGGGGAGAGCTGTGGTGGCAAATGCCTGGGCAAAATCTGAGCTGTGCATACAAGATCTGCTGCTCTGGCTCCATGATGTGCCTTCCAGGGCTCAGGACCGCATGTGTCTCTTCATAGCTGAACATGTTAGGCAATCCAGTCTCTCTACTCCATAGAACCAAGCTAGTGAGACCACAAATGCTGCTGCTGAGGCTTTGAAGTGGGAAGGAGATCTGATATAAACTATTGGTGCTGTGATCCTTGTTAGATGGCAGCAGCACTTCTGCATGGGGTGGGCACTGCAGTTCAGTGGCCTTCTGTGTGGAGGCCTGACACAGTCCTGTGCTGCTCACTGCAGACAGGCGCTTCATTCCCACGTGCATTTGTCAGTGTTAAAGTCTCATGCCTCTCTAGGGAGTGCTTCTTTGGATTAGGGTTTCTGTTCATCAAAATACCAAACCTGGAAAGAGCTAAATTTTATCACTCTTCCCCAGTTTTTTTCTTCTTTGCATATTTACAAAAGAGAATTATCTGACATGTGGCATCAAAATAGAGCCCAGATGCTCCACAAAAACCTCAGAGCTGCCCGGACCGGAGCTTGCAGTGCTGAGAGCTTCAGGCTGATGTTCAACAAGAAAAATCCCAAACACCTTCTGTAGGAAGGCAGTGCCATGTGTTTAGCTCAAAGGATGGGCAATGCAGATGGGTATGCAAGGAGAGGTTGCGAAGTCACTCATCCTTCTGTGTTTGCACTAAGGATGTTAACACATTTACTTCCCACTTCTACATGTTGCTTTTTCCTGGTGTAAATACCATTGCCTGCGCCCACTGCTCTGCAGATTCAATTTCGCAGCAGGACCCAGAAAAATCTTCAGTGAGGGAAAAAGGCTGCGGTGCCTCGGCTCCCAGGCAGTCACCTGAGTCTCACAGTGACCGGGGGTAGGAAGGTGACTCTGTCATACTCGCTTTGTATACACTGTGGTTTAGGTTATTTGGTAACCGAGCTGGACTGCAGCCCAGGAGTCACCAGCAGCAGGTTCTGGCTGTATATATGTTTGCAATAAGAATGTTGAATATGGAGAGATGAATATGAATAAGAATATTGAATGTGGAGAGAGGTTGGTCACAGCTCCAGAGCCACCCTCACTTGTCCTAACTCTGCATCAGGCAGGTTATTCCCACTGCAAGAAGGGTTGGTTTAAGGCCTCTGAACCACAGTGGAGAGCAGGACAAGGAGCAGCTCTGGTAGAGATGGCAGCTGCTGGATGAGCGCCTGTGCCCTCAGCAGGACCTTCCCTACTTGACTCTCCCCACTGGGTCCATCCCATGTAGGGCTGCTTTCTGTGCATGGCGACTAGCTGTCCTTGCAGGGACAGGAAAGGCTATCTCCAAATCCTCCGTATCTCTTAGCTGGCTGATCTGCTTTTTGTCTGATTGTGCAAGATGAAGAAATGCGTGCGCAGTACGTCAGGAGTGGTTCAGAGCTGCCTTTCCAGCAGCCTTGCGGTATTAAGGTGTCATTTTCTCTCATCTGCTTGCAAAATCTCTTTATTTTGCATTTGCACGTTAAAACTGCTCCACGTTGCACACTGGGTAGTCTTGTGTTCTGCCTCTGTCCCAGGATTTTATTCTCCACTCATCCTCCTCGTCTCGGTGTTACAAAAGTCATTCTTTTTTCTCTGTCTGGGGAGCCCGAAGCAGCTGAGCTCATTAAAGGACAGTCTGGCCACGGTGTCCAGCTTTTTTTTCCTCCTCATGAAGCACCAGAGTTTGTTTTTCTGGGACTGGAGATGGTGCTTTCATAAAAATAGAGAGGATACAAATTTGTGAGATTCCAATTTTAACCGCAAGTCTTGCTTTAAATACACTGTGAGGAACACAGGAAGAGCTGGTGGTGGTGACAGGGCATGCAGGAGCAATGCCTGTGCGAGGCTGTAAGGAAGAGCAAATAGAATGTGAATGTTTCCCCGAATATTCTCCTCATATCTTGCGGTGTGTGGCTCCAACACTCCCTGTGCTGGAGGCAGTATCTTTGAAGTAAATAGCCTCGGATGGATTTTTTCTTCCATGAATTTGTTACAAGTGGCGATAAAAATCAGATAAATGAGGAAATCACAGTGTATAAGGTCATGCTTGGAAGAGGGACGGGCAGTGGGAGAAAATGCTGAATCATGGAAACAAGGCAGCACACAGGGCAAGGAACGGGAGGGGAGCCTCGTGAAGTCAGAGCGCAGAGATGTTTGTGTCTGAAAGTGGGAACGTGGTGCAAAATGAAGGAAGCTGTGGGACGCAGGCTGCCTGTCAGGGGGGTGGCAGGGTGAGCACGACTGCATCCCCAGCTCCTCTCCTACTTCTCCCCTACCTTTAACCAAAACAGCCTTTTTACCTCTGGTTGGATAACGCGCTCTCCAGCACGAGGTGCGCTCACTGTGCCAGCACCAATGGGTTTTGCTGCTGCTGCTCACTGACCCAGCAGGAGGTGATGCTATTTTCGTCTTCCTTTTGATGTGCAGTGAGGGCACTGCAGAAAGCAGCCTACAGAAAATAGCTTTTCCTATGAACTGATTTCACTGAGATTGGATGGAAGAGGAGAAAATGGATGAGCAGTGCCAGGTTTTATTTACAAGTGGCGAGGGCTGAGAAGTTAAGGAAACTAATTACCAAAGTCAGCTGGAATGAACAGCTAAAGGGCTTTGGCATGGTTGAGGCTCGGTATTTACTGTGTGACAGGGGACAATTTCAAACGAGGCAGAGGTGGTGGATTTAATACATCTGAGAGAGTAGGAAAGCAGCAGTGTAGTTTCAGTTTGGGAGCGCTGTCTGCAGCGGTGAGGGTTGGATTTCAGAGACAGCCTTTGGGAAGCAAACCTGGCAGCTGGAGCCCTGTTTGCTGCAGGCAGAGAAGTCACTGTAGAAACATCTTCAGATTGTATATGTTTTAAAATCAGCCAAGAGAATGCCAGAAGCCGTCTGAGATGTGCCACTCAAGGAGCCACCTGCTTAACTCCTCCTCCACATTTGCTGGGATTTTCAATCAGGCCAGGGCTTTGTCTTTGGCTCAGTCCCTGCAGCAGGTGTAGGAAAGTCCCCGGGCTGATTGGTGCCAGGCTGAGCCACAAGGCACCGGCAGCACAGTGTGCCCGAGCCGCATTGCGGAGCAGCGCTGCCAGCCCCGCCGCGGCGTGATTTACTGCCCCTCAAATGGCTTCCTGCAAATGTTCTGCAGGACTTCAAAGCCTGCGCTGGATGCTGGGTGGTTCTTGGGGGATTTTGGCTTCGTGACCCATTTAGCAGCCTGGCTGGGCACTTCTCCCTGCAAAAGCTGCTGCAGCTCTCAGTTGCTTTTTGAAGTTTTCAGGCGAAGAAGAAAACAGCTTCTCTTGCTGCTGCTGTCCTGCTGAGGCCTGTGTTTGTTCACTCTTGATGCATTGCAAAGAAGCTGTATTTTTGGCTCTACCTGCCAGGGGAGGTGACAGATGATCATGTTTTCCCTGAAACGAGACACTTCAAAGCTGTGTGCCAGCTGCAAACAGGAGCTGCGCTCCGCTCTCCCCCACCAGCCTCCCTGCTGTTATTTTCCTGCTTTGCTCTGCCTTTAGCAAATGTCCCCCATGGCCAAAGGTGTCCCTGGGCTTAACTGTTGTGGTGGCCAAGGCAGCTCCCTGTGCCCTCTGGTACAGCTGTGCCTCAGCTCCCACCAGCTTTACCTCCCTGACCATGGGATGCTTTGGATTTTGGCTCATGGCTCCTGCTGGCACTTCTCTGCATCTTTATGAAGACAAGCCATGTGTGGGGGCCTCTTCTTTCAAAGATTTCCTCAGCTCCCTTCTGAACACAGCATTCAGGGGGCTGCAAGAACAATCTGCAGTAAGGCTGCATCACGGAGCGCAGGAGCAATGAGGAACGGAGGAGCAGTTAATAAATGAAAAGCCATTTCATTATGGGAAATGAATGTTTAATGAGTGTGGGATGACGTCTAGACAGGCGGTCGGTGCTGGCCATGTGGTGTGCGAGGAAGACTCAGCCCAGGCAGCCAGCCCTGCCCCGATCTTGTGCCAGGAGGAGGTGACAAAGCTTTCTCAGGAGCTGCAGTGCTACAGGGAAGGTCCCCTGATACCACATTGCTGCTGCCGCCCCTTGTGCCTCTCCTGGTGAGGCCCTGAGGCTATAGAGGGTCCTAGGAGCTGGGGACAGCCAAGCTGTGGGCTGACCCAGCCTGGGGCAGGGCTCAGGGCAGCACTCAGGAGCTCATTGCAGGCTCCTGGGTTTTAGCTGTTTTTAGCTACAGAAAAGAGGTTTCAAAGACTGAAATGGGCCCATAAGGGGGTTGGTTCCCAGCAGAATCCCTTCTAGAGTCTCTGGAAGTACCAGTTGTCCCTGCAGAAGCACTGTGCTGACGTGCCACAAGCCTGGCTGCTGCTGGGGACAGGATACGGCACTCTGGCTGCTCCACAGCCACCCAGATCCTGCCCCAGGCTGAGCATGCCTGGCCTTGCTGGGCGCCGGAAAGCAAAGATGAAAAGCTTGAATCTTCTTGGCAGCTGCAAAGAGGTGGAAATAATGCACTCTGACTTCATCCCAAGGGCTGCCCTCCTAGCCTTAGGGATGGCATGCTGAACCAGCCCACAGCTCTGCTGAGCTTGCCTGGAAAACACTGACTGGACCCCTCTGTGCCCCTGCCCTGCTCCATGGCCCTGTCGGACGCACAGTGTCCCCTTCCTGGGTGCCAGGAAGGGCTCTGCTGTTTCTGGAGATGGAAATTTTCTCTGGGACACATGCTGTGCCTGTAAAGCAGCAGGGATGGGACCAGTGGTGCTGCAGAACCTGGGACCAGAGCAATGGGCTACGCAGCCTGATCAGCACTTGGCTCTGTGACTTCTTGGCTGTGCCTATGGGTGGAAAAGAGGAAAATAAATATGTGTTTGCTTTCCCACAAATGGACGCCTCTTCCATGGGGCATTTCGCTCCACCTTTCTTAACCCTGGGATTTCTGCAGGGTGGACACCTACAAACAGCTCCACCAAAGGCCTGACACACAATTTGTCCTGCTGTAGTGTCAGAAGGCTTGGTGAGATGTATGGGCACTGGGTGAGGCTAGTTGGAAGGGATGGGAGGTGGTTTGGGGGTTTGATTTTTTTTTTTTTAATTTTTTTTTTAGTTTTCAGTTTTTGTTTTTGTTTTTCCCTATTTATCCTCCTTGCTTTGCCAAGGCATTTCCATATAGGGATGGGATGCTGCTGCCTGTGGTGCTGAGCCCTGCCAGGGGACTTGGTGGGGAGTGCTTTGCATTCTCTTGTGCTTTTTAACAGATTGAAGTGATTGAGAGGCCAAAACCAATTTTGTTCAAAACTGTGGTGAGTTTTAGACAGCCTCAGACTTGATAGAGATTAGAAGCATCTTTGTGCTGCAATCTGCCTGTCTGAGTTCTTGCTACTAGGAGAGCCTGGGAGGTATTTCTCGGTAATGAAGAGCATTTCACTCGTAGACTGGGCTGCACACACAGAGCCATGCAGCAGGAAGGATTTAGCCATCCGGTGGCACCAGCAAAGTCATCCTGGGTCTTGCAAGACTGGCCTGGCTGCTGGGAGAACATCTGGCCAGGTCTGCCCGAGGTGCGCGCCTTGCTGCTGCCATATGGTGGCTGTGAAGCAATAGCTTGGCCCCAAGTTTTGCTAACGCACAAAAATACTTTCTGGGCCCCTGCTTCAGCAGCAAGCCTGTGGTGAGCAGCTCTGCGCAGGAAGCAGTAACCACAAGCTATATATACAGCTCCCAGCAGAGCTGCTGCTGCTTTTGATGTGACAAAATTAAGGTGGTGTTTTGCAAAGAAATCCAGCATGTTGCCTTCTTCCACTGCCAAGGCTGACACAGTGAGAACTGGGGCTGGGCTCCTGGATGGCTCCTGGACCTGAGCTGGTATGGGGAGGTGGGCAAGGACGTCTCTTTGCCTCCAAAAACTGTGCAATGCTGAAGGTTGCTGGTTCCTGAGCCAATGGTGTGTCATGGCATGTGCTCTTGCTGGCTCTGTTTGTGTTCTGAGCTGGTTTAGAAGGCACAATGTCAAAATGCAAGCAGCTGGGGACAATGTCAGGATCTGAGCTTTTTCCCAAGGTGGAAGTTGAGACCCTGATGCAGCTGAGAGGGACCCATGGTGCTGGGAGGGGGAACCACTCGTGCTGGGTGCCAGCCTCCATAGCCTCCCTGATGTCCTCCATCACTGGCAGTACACCCCTTGGAGAGCAGCTGCCAACAGTCAGGCAGAGCAGGGAGCACCCAGCTATGGCCTGCTCCTGCTACCCCCAAAGGATGTGCAGTCTCTCTCCTCCTCTTGTCCTGAAATCAGCCTCTAGGTCTCACCCTGCCCCTTTGCTGCCTGCACTCTGACTTTGCTGGCCTACCCTCATAGCCAGGCTGGGCTCACTATGAGGTTGGGATGGGCACACAGCCCCTTTGCTCCTGGACAGTAAAGCCCTGCTTTGCCTTTCCCATGCCGTTTTGCAGAGTGGGGCTGACTACAGCTTCCTTGTGAGCCAGAACATGAAGCTCCTGAGCGCACTGGAGGACCTGCGGCACCGCTGCTCCAGCCTCACCGAGGAGAACAGCTTGCTGGTGAGTGCAGAACACAGCCCCATCCTGCACCCTGGCCAGGCATCAGGCTGGCTCAAGACACATGATGCATGGGGATGTGTGGATGTGTGGATGATGCATGGGGAAGGAGTCTTGGCTGGGCCAAGCTCCAAGAGAACAGCACATGGGGTCAGCTGGGGTGAGCAGGGTGTTTTGGGTCCCCTAGGTGCCTTTCTGCTGCACCCAGTGTTGGCTTGAGCAGGACCCCTTCCTGGTGACCTGCTGATGCCCTCCTTGACATCCTTGCCAGGACTGTTTGCCTGCTGGCAACTGCAAGAGGCTTTTCCGCAGCTGCCAGCTTTGGCAGAGAGAAAGGCAGCAGCGAACTGATGGCAGGGGAGGGGGAAGTCGCTCTTGTTTCCTCTTTAAGTGGAAAAGCAGAAACACTGATTCAGTCAGCCCTGTTCTGGGTTACAATGCAGCAGTGCCCCCTGCTCAGTGGGAGCTTGGCACCTGATTCCAGCTGCACCCCAGCACCCAAAGGCAGGCCAGGCTGCCACAGTGCAGGCTGCCCAATCTGCCCCACTCCCACCTCCTTGGGTTCCACATTCATGGTTAGCAGCCAGGAAATAAGAAGAGGGGATTCTCCCTACTGAATCCTCACCAGAAAGCATCCTTGCCTGGGAAGCCCTGTGGTTCAGGGATGTAGCCACCCTGGAGCTAAGTTCTGCAGTGCTGGCAGAGCTGCATCAGTCCAACCCTATAACTTTTCAGTTCATCAGCAACCCTGGCTCTGAACTACACTGTGCAAAGGGGAGCACCTTGCATTGCTCATTCTGCATGCGTCTCTGAAAGTGTAGGGCCATACTGCCCTCCTAGGCAGAAGTGTTTCCCTTTTCTCAATGTAAATGTCACAGCAGCTCTTTGAAAAGGATTGGAAGAAGGCAGGAAAGAATCCGAGAAGAGCACAGATCATGCCAATTTTTTCCCTTCAAAATACCCTTAAAAGATTAATCATTCAACATGTATATAACTAGATTCAAAACACGTTTTAGATAATTTTCTTGCACTAAGAGCATAAATTCAGCACGCCATGCGCACTGGGGAGGGTCACCCACTGACAACCATGGGTTTTAGCAAAGCACTGTCATAAAAGCTGGCGTCAAATCTTACTCTCAAAAATCAGACTCTTGTCTTCTGACTGAAGGAAATCAAATAAGGCAGTGAAAGCAGCACGTGCACATGGTGGGATCACAGAGGTAGTGAAGGAAATAATTGGAAGGATCAGCTGACCTGACGTTTTTGCTAATGTGAAAAGACAGCGCAACACATCTGGGTTTGACCTTGAGAGAACAAGGAGCAGCTTATCGAAACAGACAGATAACAAATAAAAGGGGATTAAGAGCGAACAGAATCAATAGAAAGGAGAAGGAAATTTGATTTGCAAACATTGTAAAGTCCTTGGCTGCTCTCTCCCCGTCCCCCCCAACTCATGCTTCAGTGTCAGGGGAGCAAGGACAGCAGCAAAGCTCGCACTGTAACATGGTGCTGCAGCACAAACCCACAGTGATGTGTTGAAGACTGAAGCAGCAGGGAGATGAACAGGGATAGGCTTCGGAAGGGGCAGCAGCCCCAAGGTGCCAAGTCCCAAGTGGCAAAGGCAGAGCCTGCAAAGAGCAGAGAGAGTGTAAGGTTGCAGAGCGTCCATAGGCTGGATGGGGCAAGGGGTTTCTTTGAGGAACCAAGACGTGACGTTAACAAAACATCAGGAGAAGCAAAGTTTCAGTGACTGTGGAGGAGACAAGTGAAGGAGGGTGTGTAAGCACTGCGGAGGGACACCGAGTGAGGTCTCACCTTGGCCCTCTCCTTCTGTTATCCAGCGCAGGAGCTGCTTCCCTGAGACGGAGGAGAAGGTGAAGCACCTAAAGAGGAAAAACGCAGAGCTGGCGGTGATCGCCAAACGACTGGAGGAGAGAGCCCGAAAACTGCAGGAGGCCAACCTCAAAGTCGTGAGTGCTGAGCCTCTGCTGTGCTGGGGCCTGAGCCTAGGAGAGCACCTTGCCCCCAGGACTTCTTGTTTTTTGCTTTTGTTGGGACAGAAAGGCCTCCTCTTTCCTCTTTAATTAACCTGGCGAGGCCATGCAGCAAACTTGCTTTGTACACCAGCGACAGAGCAAAAACCACAAAACTGAACTGAGGAAAGAACCATCACCAGCTTCTTCAGCTCGTGCTTGGGGAGCTGGTTTTGAGCAATTTCCTCCTAATTGGTTTCTTGCTGTAAATGTGCCAATCTAATGTAAAGTATTAATTTAGGTAATTAGCTCAGCTTTCCCTGGGCTAGTCATGAAAATAACTCATCTGACTTCATCGAAAAGAAACAGGAAGTATTTAAATAAGAAAAGGAGTGTGGTAAAGCAAAACAGGAAGGGGTGAGATATTCTGCTCTGCCTCGTGCACACCTCACTAGCATTTCTGTGCAAGTGGTGTGTTTTTTTCTTTCTCAAACTGAAGAGGAGCTTTTTGCAAACCCAGTAGTTTCTGATGTGGTGCAGGAGTAGAGGGAGATGGCTGCAGGATATGGTGCTTTGCAGACAAACATCTGCACGAGCTACATAAAGGTAGCTTGCAGCAGAGTAGGGGAAAAATGTTCTCCCACTGGAAGGAAACCGGGGGTAGGGGGGAAATTCAAGCCCTTCAGGATAGAAAGAAGAAGCAAAAGCTTTGCTGGTAGGGGAAGGTAGGGGATTTTCCTGGCATTGCCTGCCCTCTCTGTCCCTGGGCCCTGCACTGCACTAGGAACACGTCTGTCACAGGGTTTTGGTACTTGCAGCACAACAGTTGCTGCCAGATGGACTTGTCAGGTACTGTGCCAAGAAAAATCATTTGCTATACAACCAACAGCTATGCAGACCCTCCAGGAACTTCACAAATGCTGTTTCATTTTTTTTTCTTGTGTTTAAGTTTGGGATGGTGGCTGTTTGAGCCCTGGGTGAGCCCTAGGAAAACCAAGTGGCCAGCTCAGGACATGCAGGGTGCCCACCTGTGGTGCTGGTACCCCATGGAGAGCTGGCTTTAGGGACGGCTCCTACTGAGAGCTGTCATCCTCAGGTGACTGCAGCCGGGCAGCATCAGCTGTTCTGGCCCTGGCTAGGCTCTCCCTCACCTCTCCTTTTGACTGTCTTTTCCACCCATCCTTGCATAAGCTCTTTCCCACTGTCTTTCAAAGACAGCTCCATTTCTCCTCCTGGCTTAGCCTCCTCCACCCTTTGCTCATCTTCCCTGCCATTCTCTTCTCCTCCTCTCCCCATATTTCTCCCTTCATCCTGTCTTCCTCTCCTCTCTCTGCCTGCAGCCCTCTGTACTGTCTGTGTGTGCGTTGGCCTCATCTGCTCACCTCACCTTCTCCTTCCCACTTCTGCTTTGATCTGCTCCTCGAAGAAGCATTTCCTCTTTCCTCTGACTTTTCCATATGCCTGTTTTGCTCCTCTCTCTGTCTTTTGGGGCTAGGCTGCATGTCCTGGCCCTGGTCTCTGATGACACCTGGGGTGATAGTTGGCCGACATCATTCATAGAATCCTAGAATGGCCTGGGTTGCAAAGGCCCACAGTGCTCATCCAGTTCCAACCCCCTGCTGTGTGCAGGGTCACCAACCAGACCAGGCTGCCTAGAGCCACATCCAGCCTGGCCCTGAATGCCTCCAGGGATGGGGCATCCACAACTTCTCTGGACAACCTGTTCCAGTGCACCACCACCCTCTGAGTGAAAAATACCAATGTATGTGGCTTTCTCTCTTGCTGCTCTCTCTGGGTTTAGGTAACTGCTCCAGTGCCCCTGAAGGGTTCCAGCCTGGAGCTGTGTAAAAAAGCATTTGCCCGCCAGCGTGCCAAGGACTTGACAGAGCAAGCCAGTGCTCTTCTGGCAAAAGACAAGCAGATTGAAGCTCTGCAGCAGGAGTGCCGGGAGCTGCAGGCTAAGCTCATTGCAGGGAAGGTGAGATACTTCGGGGACTTTGTGAGGTGGCTGGGTGCAAACAGTGCAGTAACAATGTCGGGAACCAGGCTCCAGCAGTGCCATGGCAATTAGTTTCAAGGGCAGACTGAAAACAGAGAGTATGTGATGAGTGAGTTGTTATGGGGAAAGTTAGAGGAGCATGTGGCCAAGGCAGGATCCAGACCACTTGGAACAGTGTGCTGGGGGACATCCCATTTCTCCCTCTGTGGATTCACAGATCCTGCACTGCCATTTTCATCAGCAACTAAAACTGTCTCCCTGGAAAACCCCAGAAGCCACAGATACAGAATGGCCTTTCACAGTATTAAGCTTCAAGTAAGACATAGAAGCAGGACTTCCTTTTAATGCATTTCCTTAAAAAACAAACCAGTTGAGCACATTCCCAAGAATCACTCCAGATTGCATACTCTCAGCAGCAGCTTTTAGTGCTTGCAGCCATCATAGTGATGATATCTACATGCAAACTTGTGTTACTGATAATAGGTGTACAAATCCTAAAATGAGGGTGGGTGTTCATAAAACTCATAAAATCTACTGTGTTGATTGTGGACATGGACTGGTGGCCCAGCACAGAACTTGCTGAAATAAAAAGTGGGATAAAAGGGAAAATTCAGCTCATCCTGAGACACACGTGTAAAACTGCTTGGACACTCTTTCAAGGCACTTCTCTGAGGTGGTTACAAAAGAAGTTTCTGCATGCACCTAAATTAGGTGAAACAATTCCTGCTCAGAGTGGCCAGAGCAACCTGTTCTGGTTATATCAGATCTGTCTTTTGTTCACAAGCTACACAGTTTTAATGCAGGTCAGTTAATACACTCTCATTCTCCCTTTTTCACTAGTATGCAAGTGGTCAAATGCAGTGCTGTGTTTCTGCACCCAGTTGAGCAGAAATAATACTTCTATTTCTACCTACTCATGGGAATATTTAGGTGACAAATACTTTCTTGCTGAAAGCAGCTTTATTTCATTCCTTGAGCTCTGCATGTGTTCACTTCAACTATGTGTTTGCAAGTAGATTCTCTGCCTTTCGCTAACATAGATCTAGTCTAGACAAGAATAATTGGGTGTTGTTCACTGTTTGTACAGAGCTGTCCCAGTGATCCCTTCTGGTGTTAAATCACAAGAGAAAGTTATCTAGGTCTGAGTGCATTCCATAGTCTTACCAAGAACAAATTTCCTTCCTGTGCCCATGGCTGCTCACTGCAGACTCCCACAGAAGGGGGAACAAGCCCTCTGATTTTCACAGCAGAGCGTGCTGAGCAAGCTGAATCTCCCAGGGATAGGAAGCTGACAAACTGTAGAAGAATGTGACAAAGGCAGGAGAGCAAGATTCATTACTGGCCAAGGAAATACGTATGGGTGCAGTCCTCATAGCTGCTGAGACTTCAGTTGCTGCTTTGCTGCTAAGGCATGGGCCACCACCCTGGCTGGGAAGGTGAGACCATCTGTGTAACCTGCCAAGGCAACAGCAGTGAGGGCCATCAGTACATGAGCTGGGAATCTGCAGAGAAAAATTGTCAGAGAGGAAATTATTCTATCTGATCCTGTGGGTTGTTTTTTTTTTTTTTTTTTCTTCCCCATTTATCTTCCAAGCAAGCTGCTCATTAAATTTTAATTCTCAGCTAGTTAAAATTCAAAATTCCCCTAATCTGTCTGCAGCATGCAAAATGCATTATGCCAATGAGGGGGTTTATGAGCACAGATATTATGTGCATGCTCAGAGTTTGTAGCCAAATCATTTTTAATCTAGTGCACTTGATTCAGCACAAATCTTTCAGTAGCTATGAAACAGATGTACTCTGTTCATTTTCAGTGGTAGGACGACACGCGCACCAGGCTGCAAGAGCGGGCCTTGTTTTGCCAAGTCAGAGCTCTCAGGGTAAGATGTTTGCCTGAGATCATGCTGCAGTGACAGGTTTGCAACAAAGGCCCCGTCCAGGTTCCACCAGGCTGCCGTTTCTTGCAGTGGGGATTCCTGGAGGCTGCAGGGAACGGCAAGGCAGCTGCAGAGGACACAAATAATAGGAGCTGTGAGTGGAAGACTGAGCGCTTTTCTGCTCTCTTATTTCCCCCCCGGCTTTGGAGGCTCTCTATGGAAATAGCTGCTTCTATTTTCTGGTGGGGGAAGGGAGCTTTTTAGGCAGTCCCCGCCAATTTTGTTTGAAGAACTAACCCTGATAGCCTCAGTGTGGGTCTTGCACAGAGTGCGCGGCTGCTCACTTCTTGAATCTGTAATCAGTTCCCATTAATGGTGCCTCGGTTTCCCCCTTGTTGTTTGAGAGTAACTATGCTTTTCTACAAACTGTATTTGCAAAGCACATGCTATTTTTAGGGTGAATAAGAAGTGAATGGGGAAGCAGATTAAATTTGTCCTGGATACCAATTATGCATTCACTGGCTTAGGAGCTTTCCAGGGGAATGAGCAATGTCTCCTTCAGCAGCATATTTGTAAGGGCAGGTTTTCATAACCAGCTTTTGTATGTCTGTATGGACATGCAGGTACGTGTCTTTTTCAGCTTTCTGAAATCTGAAAACCTTTGAGGAATTAACACAAACTGGTGGCGTATTCTCACTGTTTTAGCAAGACTAAAATTGCACTGGCTTCCTTTAAAAGCTGCTGGCTTTGCGTCCAGAGTGGACAGGACTGGCTACTTGTGCTGAGGATAGAAGCCTATCCACACAAGCTCTCTGTGGTCAGAAATCAGTAGCACTTTAAAAAGCCAAACACCCTGAGTCAGAAGCAAACGAGTCTCAGATACGCTTCATTCTTTCCAACATTAAAGCCCTAATTGCCAGGCACGCACAGGGCTGCAGAGAATACCAGCACACACAGCAAGGAGAGGAACCCGGCTGGGGCTCTTGTTTTGCCGTGGAACGAATAAATGAAATTGTATTATCCTGACACGCTCTCTGCTGGCAAACACTTAGAAAGCACGCGCTTAGAAAAGCCCTTTTTACCATAGCTTTGCACTGGAATAACCGTAAAGCATCGCAGGCTAGTTTTCATCTGTGAGAGAAATTACGTATTGACACTTAGGATGCGAAATGACTGCTTTGGAGGAGTTGGGGGCCCAGGAAAGAGAAGCTTTTGTGTGCTCTGTTAGGGAACGGAGTGTGCTGGCATCTGTTGGCAGCACTTCGTGCTTTACACCCACCCTTAACCTGCTGCAGCCGCACGCCGTGCTACCGTTCCCCGCAGGGTGACCCTCGCTGCCTGAACGTGGTGGAGTTCGACCGGCTGCTGCGGGAATCCCAGAAAGAAGTGCTGCGGCTGCAGAGGCAAATCGCTCTGAAGAACTTCAAGGACTGCCTGCGCTCCTCCAAAAACGGCTCGGGGGGCTCCTCGCCGAGCGCCGCCGTCCGCCCGGGCCCGGCGCCGAACGCCCGCGGCAAAGACTCACCCGCAGCGAAGGAGGTGAGCCGGGGGGAGCCGGCGGCGGGATGGGCAGCGCGCGGCACGGTGAGACGAGCGGGACAGCGGCCGACGGCCTCGCCGCTCCGTTACTCGATTCGCTCCCACTCGAGGGAATCCGATCGAGGCGCGCGAGCCGCGGTTCACGTCGGCCGGGCCGGTTTTCAATGGCGGAGGACGGGCCGCGTGTCCCCGAACCCCGCGCGGCTGCCGCGCTGTCAGCCGGGGCCTCCCGCACAGGCCGTGCTGCAGAGCGGCTCCGCGCTTAACCTGCCGCATCCCGGCCCCATCCCGGCCCTGCCCTGCCCTGCCCCTCCGCGGCCGCAGCGCTCCGGCCCGGCAATCCCCGCGGCGCCGCCCCCCCCCCGGCGAGCCGCGCGCCGGCAGGTTAAGGTAAGGCTGGGCCGCGGTGGGCCGCGGTGCCGGGAGCGGGGCTGTGCGCTGCCGGGCCGCCGGGGCTGCGGTGCGGGGCGGTGCGGGGCGGCGGGGCGGCTCAGCCCCTCCGCTGCGCGCTCTGCCGCGGGGCCGGCCTGCGTGCGGGCCCACTGCAGGCCGCGGCCCTGAGGGGGCGGGCGGGAAGCGCGGGGCCGTCACGGCCGGGCTGCGTGGGGCCGCGGGCGGCCTGGGGGCTTCCGTCAGTCGTTCGTTGAGTTGCGATGTTCTGGGGCAGGACGTCACGCCTGCAGCCTGGCGCGCTGCTCTGAGCTCTGGTTTGTTGCCGCCGTGCTGCTCCTGCCATTTTTTCTTTCTTGGAGGATTCTCTTTCATTATTCAGTGTTCGTTCATAGAATTGCAGAATGGCCTGGATTGAAAAGGACCACAATAACCATCTCGTTTTAACCCCCTGCTGTGTGCAGGGTCACCAACCACCAGACCAGGCTGCCCAGAGCCACATCCAGCCTGGCCTGAATGCCTGCAGGGATGGGGCATCCACAACCTCCTTGGGAAAACCCATCGTCTTTTCTAGTTGTCTATCTTTGTGTCGTTTTTGTGTCGCAGCATGCAGAATCCCCCAGAGCAGCATAACAAAGTTCTTTCCCTTTCCTAATAGAGCCCTTTGTCTTGTTGTCTAAGCGTTGGCTTCTACTGAAGCACCGTTTGTCCCATGCCACGCTGTGATGTGTTGTCCCAGTGCCATCGGGACCCTTCACCGTTTGTTTCATCACCACATCAGTATTTGAGGTGCACAGCTCCTGCTGCCTCTCAGTTCTTGTTTTCCCCAGACATTTATCCAAGAGAATCCCTTCCCCTCTTCCTACATCAACTTAGTGTCTGAAGAAGCCTTTAAAAAAGCACTGTAGCAGCGTACGAGGCAGGCTGTATGTGCTGCACCTTCCTCACCCATTTTATAGCTTCAGGAGTGTAGCATAGAGTTGATTTTTTTCTTTTGTTTAAGTACTTGCATGTTCTTTGTTGCAATTCGATTGGTTTTCTTATGGCACAGATGTCAAATGTTCAGGTCTGTGTTTCCCCAGATCCCCACTGGAAGCCTTTTAAAACATGACTTTTACCACCTTCCAGTTGTTTTGCTTTGCATTAGAGAGGTGGCATAGTGCACATCCTTACTGGGTGCTGAAATTGAGACATTCCGTTCATGGTGAAAGGTTTGTTTTGTTTTGTTTTTTAAATTCAGACGAATATTGTCTAATCTTGGTAATTTGTTCCTGTTTATATTTATTATATTGGTTTCTACAGTTCTTCTGGTTGACACTTCAATCTCTGAGTCAAATCTTCAGCTGTTCTTCACAGTTTGAGATTTCTGCCATGTTCAACCCTCGCCCCCTAGATAATGAAGATAGATGCACAGACTTCTTTTGTTTATTATTTTGGTCCTGCTCTGCCCTTGTTGTCCTTGAACAGCCCTTTTATACCTTGATTTTCAGTTGACCCTGCAGAATATGTCAGATTCTTCTCATGATAGAGAATATGCATTATATCCTTTCTCATAGCTGCTCTTCACTTTTCCAAAAGTGAAGAAGTCCTCATTGTCCAAAGATTTCCCAGCTGAACATAGCAAGAAGGCTGTGTGGTAGCATCAAAGAGCAGGGAGTGAGGACCTGGGTGTGCGTGGGTGCAGTGGTACGGTGTTGAGGATCGAGTTAGCAAAAACCACAGGTACCACAAGTACAATAAATGATTTTGCTCTTCTGTCTCCTTCTGTAGCACAGTGTCAGTGCTCTGTCCCCTGCCTTTCAAGGAACTTCCTTAGGGTGTAAAGAACAGGCTTCTCTTAGTGGTGTTGGAAAATCCCTTTTCTCTCTTCCCTTTCTGATCTCTCTGCTTCTTTATTTGCGGTTGTGGGATGATGCTTATCTCTGTAACAATACTAATGTAGTGAGCACACTGGTAGTGCTCACTTAAGCAGCCTCCTACTTCCCACTGCACATTCCCACTGCTCCTCCAGTCATGCTGCTGTAGGCTGTGTTGAGCTGCAGAGTGTTAGGGACTGAAGGACGGATCTGGATTAAAAACAGCCCAGCAAACATAGCCTTCTTCCCACTTTTTCTGTAACCTGAATCAGTTTTGTGGTCCAGCTCTGTGACATTGCGCAGGGCTGTCCTGGCACAGCAGGGAGACAGGTTGTGGTTGGGTGGGAGATGCTTCAGCATTTCCAGGGGGGGCAGGATTGTGATGATGCTTTCTGCATGCCAAGGACAGGGTTTTCTAGAAAGACTGCAACATTTTTAATATACTTTATTGCTTGCTTTAAACAGTCTGGTCATTTGCCAAAGCCTGGGTGCATCTGTGCCTGTTGTATGCTTGACTTAAGCTGCTACGTTCTGGACATCTCATCAGCAGCACAGCTTCACCCTGCTCTGTCCCTGGGCTCTGCCAAGATAGGTGCTCACTGTGGGCAGCTGTTCTCTGGTTATTTTTAACTGTTTTCTTGAACAGATTCCGTGCACCTGGTTCAAAGAGCATCTTTCAGTCCGTGCTGTGAATGAGGTGGCTCAGCTCCAGGGCACAGCACTCACCGTGATGTGTGCCAGTCTCATTTAGCAGTTGTCTGGTATGGTGATGAGTCTGGGTTCTGAGGGACAGTAAGAGTGTGTGAGCACGTAGCTGGGAGGTTGTCTTTGTTCTTGGATGGAAATTAGACCTGAGTGGGCAAATATAATTTTACAGTTTTTGAAAGTTGTCTGTAATTAGGAATGTAATCATTGTATGTATCATTTTACTGAAAAGTGCTTACAAACAAGCAGAGATTTCTTACATATCTGCTGTGAGATAATGGCTTACTAAGCATAGTGCATGTAGCTGGCACAATGGGTATCTGACCTTAGGTGGCATCTGCTGGTGTTCCTTGAGACATTATTTCATTAAAGCTGACTGAAATGCAACGTTTTGGCAAAACATATGATGACATGCAAGGGCCCATGGCTTGGGTGGAGGACTTGAGATTTCCAGCTGTTGAGACATGGGAGCTTCCAGCTGTTGGCTTCCCTAATGGAACTCCCATGTCTCCCTAATTGTAGGGCTGCAGGAAGTCCCTGAGCTCAATGCAGGATGTGAGTTTCAGGACTGCTGTTTCAAGCACCAGCTCTGTAGCAGAAAATCTGGAAACTTTGTTAGCCTGGGCTTCCCTGGAGTCTTATGGTTTTCTGGCTTTCAACATGAAAATTGTTGTAGTAGAAACCAGGGATTCAAGTCCAAAGTAGTTAAAAGAGACTTTGGTAAGTATTGTTCTGGCATGCAGTCCTGGTAACTGACTGTGAAGGGAGCTCAGATGTAGTAACTTCGATCCCTCGCTGCAGGTGTTCAGAGTGAGATGAGAAATTTGCTGCTGCTGACAGGTGGCTGAAGGTTACAGGCTGAGGTGCAGTCACAAAGTCCTGCCTCTTCACTGCATAACTTCACTTTGATGATCATCAGCTCCTGTCCCTAAAACCTACTTATCAAAAATAACTTCAACATTTAAAGAAAAACAGTATTATCGTGGCCCTTTTTCATCTGCCTACCTCAGGCCTTGTCCTGCTGTCAGTAGTTAGTCTGGGCAGACTGAGCCATGTCAGCTATCGACCAGACATCTTCCTGTAGTAGCTGTGAAGGGTTTCCCTTGTTTCTGTGCTCTGTTTGGTGCTGGAACATAAGGCACAGCACATTGGTTGTTTCTGTCCCTCTCACCAACAACCAAGGTAGAATGCCCCTTTCTTAATACCTTCTTTTCTTCCTTGCCTTCTGGATGCTGAGATCTTTGCTGATTTTTCCCTTTTGGTTGTTCAGGGGGGTAGTGTCCTCCCATCTAACCATCTTCCAGCTGTGATTATTGTTTTGGAGTTTGCTTGTGGGATGTTGCTATCTTAGGTGCTGTGGCCAGGGGAATGTCTTCCTTGGTGCTCCTGGCTGTCCCTGAACACTGAGATCTCACTTGCTTTCCAGGTGGAACCAGGTGTGCTACCTCTGGGCCCTGCCTTGGAAGGACATGAAAACTTCCCTCCAAAAAATGCAGTAACAGACCAAGAGAGCAGCCAACAGATACAGCAGCTGGTGAGTTGTTGCCCTGTGCACGGGGTCGATGTCTTTTGGCACTTTCTTTCCAGAGCAAAGCCAGTCTGGTTTTGGATGAAGAAGTTCAAGTTTTTCTTGAGTTTTCACCCATAGAATCCAGACAAAGATTTTGGGAACTGAAGTCTTTTTAGATGCAACCTGCAGAGGCTGTCTCTGCATGGAAAGTGGGTGCCAGCTCCAGGTATTGTGCTGAACTGGGGGTATGCATCAGTCTGAAAGGAGAGGAAGCCATGCCAGTGATAGATTCTGTGGTGTATTTGGTTCAGCATTCATTGAACAGACATGACTGACCCAAGACCGATGTCATGAGGAGCATGGCCTCTGTGCATGACTCTAGCAAGATGGGACAGTTCACAGTGAGGTTTAGGCATCTTTATCTACCTGGGGAACCAGGAGTGGTAGCAAGTAACCACAGATAAAGGCACATAAAGAGTGGTTGTCTGCTGTCTGTTAGATGTCATTTGGATTAGAATAAGAGCTAATTTAGCACAGCTAGTGTTTCAATATGAAACACTCCACGGCTCTGCCTACTTGTTCCTCACAGCCTGTCCTTCATCCTATCCTAGACAAATCAGTACAGTTTTTGCAACTGAGAAATAGAGAATTGTTTCCAGAAGTTGAAAGGATTGAGGAAGGGAGGAATAGCTGCTTTACTTGAAAAGTCTTTTATTTTCACTACCTTTAAAAATATATATATATATATCTTTTTGGGTTTATATGTCATTTATGTTTGTAACAAAGATTTCCTTAAGAAAACAGAAAAAGCCAATGTAGCATTGGATCAGAGAAGCTGAATTT